AGGGACACTGCAGGGAAAAAAGGTGAGAAGGAAGGAAAGAAAGTAGGTAGATCAGTTATTTCTTTTGAGCTTAAAGTATTTGCAAGAAATCCAAGTAAAAACGTCTAGTAAGTAGATAAGTATCAGAATCTTGATAAAGATATTTTTTACTAACTTGAACTCATACACCCACTGCAGGACCTTGAACTTGGAGGGTATAGACAGCAAGCAGGTATGACCAAGAAGAAAGACCAGGACCACTTCAGGAGATGAGCAGATGGTCAGCAAAACAGCATGGTGGTAAAACTGTAACTTCACCACTTCGACTTGGGGTTCAGCAATCAGCAGTATGAAACTTCTGGAAAATCAGCCAGTCTGAATCCATGAACCAAGGACAAATACTTGGAAAGCTCTGGGGCTTTTCTTTGGTCAACTGCACTGGTTAGACAGTCTTCATGGGACTGCCCCTTTTCATATAGTGTGAATAAACCTCCAATGTTTTAAATCAGTTTTTCCTGCAGCTTTGCTCTGCAGCAGATCTTTGCAGCTCAACACTCATTATGCCTCAGAGTCTGATTTTTGTTTTGTTTTTTAATTTAGTCTAGAGTTCAAAAAAGAGGTCTGATCTAGAAATAATTGATTTAAGAGTCCCTTGGGCTACTGCCTAGGAAGTAAAACAGAAAAGTGCCACAGCCTGAATTGGCCTTAGAGAGTCACACTGCACTTAACCATACGAACGGGTCTGAGAAATCCCACTTGAGAAAAAGCAACCTGTTTTAAACAACTTATTGAACTTAGCATATCTAAATCACTTAATCTTCAAAGATGTTTCCTTCCAAATAACCTCATTAAATCCCACAGAACTAGAGTTTTGTAGAACATGCTTTGATAAACTATAGTTTAGGTATTTCACAAGGAGAAATAAGTCTATTGAAACTCTTATTTGTGCAATAACTGTATTTTATAATAAAAAATTCAGATTACAGGACTTTTCTCAGTTACCTCCTTATTAGCAGTAGCCTCACAACTAAATGTCTTATAAAACTAATTACTGCTGTCTGCCTCACCAGAGCAGCTGCCATTGTAGGCCAGATTCCCAGGTGGTATGTCTTTATATTTGAAGGGTATCAGGCACATTGAGAATCTGATGAAAGTTCTATACCATCTCCCTAGGGGGAACAATGACATATTTTCATCAAACACATGAAATCAAGAAATTCACAGATCTTAAAAGGTAAAGAATTCCTGCTTTCTAAAGCCCTGAAAGAATTTAAACCTAACTAATCATGACCAAAGTAGCAATGCTCTTAAAATCAAAAGTTATTTCACTTGGAGTATGTTATTGTTTAGATGTGAGGTGTCCCCCAAAAGCTCATGTTTAAAATAATGTGAGAAAGTTTAGAGATGAAATGACTAGGTTGAGACAGAATTCAGAATCTGTGTATTAATCTACCTGAATGGATTAACTGGGTGGTAACTACAGGCAAGGAGGGTGTGGCTGGAAGAGATAGGTCACTGGGGTATGACCTTGGGATTTATATTTTGTCCATGATGAGGGGAGCAGTCTCTCTCTTCTTCCAGTTGTCATGTCCTAAGCAGCTTTCCTCCACCATACCCTACCTTGATGTTCTACCTCACCATGGGCCCAGAACAATAGAGTCAGCCATCTATGGACTGAGATCTCTGAAACCATTAGCACCAAATAAACTTCTTCTTCTTTGAAATGGTTCTCTTTAGTCTTTTGGTCATGCCAACAAAAAGACTGACTAAAACTGTATATATGAAGTTCAGCCTTTGGTCTAGAACTGAAGTCAATCTCCAATTCCAGCTGACTTCTAGATTCTAGGTTTGTCTTTGGCTCTGCAGATAACAGTGGCTTCCAGCCAAGTTCTATTATTGGCCACTTCATTGGAGGCTGCTCTTTAGTGAATCATTATAGGTTTTCTTCTGAAATTCTTGCTTTCTTTTTAAAAAATATTTATGTTTAGTTGTAGTTGAACATAATACCTTTATTTATTTATTTATTTATTTATTTATTTATTTATTTATTTATGGTGCTGAGGATCGAACCCAGGGCCTTGTATGTGCATGAGCACTCTACTGCTGAGCTACAACCCAAGCCCAAAATTCTTGCTTTCAATGAGCATATTTAAATTCCCTATCAAAGAAACTGAAGAAAAGTGAGCTCTGAAGAAAGAATGTGTTGATGATAGGTATAAAACATAAACTGAGAGATTGACAGTCAGGAATTTTTTTTCCCCAAAATTCATCACCATCTGTGTAATCCTGGAGAAGTCTCTCCATTTCTTCAGTTTCTCAACTATGAAATAAGTTATGCCTATCCTTACTGTCTCCCAATATTGCTTGATGAATCAATAAGATAATGGCCATGAAAACACTTTGGAAACTTCAAGGCTATATATAAAAAAAGAGAGAAGTTGATGATGATTGCAGACACCTGTAACTATTATGAACAAGACTAATAACTACTTACTCAAAGTAGTTGTTGTTATGATTTTGTGATGTGTCATCACCACTCACACAATGAGTTGTATTTGAACTTTTTGAGTCAAATCTCCCATGAGAGACATCCGGCAGTACATCCTGTTCATTACCTTTATATGTGGACTATATTCACCTTCCTAAAGTGATGCTACCTGATTGTTGCAAGTTAATGCAGTACTACAACCCATAGTTCAATTATATTCCCTCAAATTGTGCTTTGTAAACCCAAGTAAATCAATTTTTTAGAATAACTCGTAACGTGTAAATAGATGCTTCATCTATTGGGATTTATTTTATTCTCTGAAGTTTCTTATTACTTGTATTGAAAGTACAGTCATTACTGATGTTAAATGATAGTTTCTAGCTGGTTTTTTAAATAAACCAGATAACAAGCATTGGCATTATTAGTTAACTGCCTAAGGATATAAGAAATAACAAGTTCAATTCCCGTTGACCCCAACCTCCCTTCCACACACTCTTGCCTGTCTTGTTCAGTCTCCAAGCTCTCTTTGGGAGCCATGTTTTGAATAGGTGTGAACAGATTTCTATACTGACTATGGCAGGGACCTTGTGGTCCCTCTAACATTGCCACACTATCACCAAACACTAATGGCCTCCAACAGGAAGCAAGCAGAGGAAACAAACAGTTCCACCTCTCTCTCTGTACCTCAGAGGGCTATTTGGGAATAAAATTAAGTAATTTAAAATGCTTCTTGAAATAAAACTTTTTCATAAAAGTCAGATATTAGTGTGATATCATTTATGTGGCATATAAGCCATATTGAGCAACCTAACAATCATAAAAGATTTTTATAATCTTAATGATTTTTTTAAAAATTAGATTCTAAAGAATTCAAACAGATGAAACTAGGAAGCAGAAATTTGGGACAGTGACTAGGTTTAGTCTATCATTCATTCATTTGACTACATTTATTGTCCAAAATTTATTTATTTTTGAATAACCACTATACATATGATGGTTAAAGAAAAAAAAAACAGGTATGATAGGTTTATAAGTACCTGTATCACATTTATAAAATGTGGGAGAGAATAAAAAATAAAGCAAATTGATGTATAATTACACCTTGTAGTGAGTTCAGTGAAGGGTACAATGAGGAGAAAGGGCTACTATGATAGCCTGATCAGAGATGGCCTATCAGAAATGAAGAGAAACTAGGCCCAGAAGAAAAGGGTGACTGCAAAGCCCAACTCCATGAGGAAGCTTGGCATGTCTGAGGACCCATAGGACAACTTTGCTTTAGACCCTGTGGAAGGAAAGAACCCTGAAATAGGTTGGTTAAATATTAACAGGCTTGCTAAAAATGATTTCAATGTAAATGCAAGGAAAGCTTTGAAGGGTTTTAAGCAGGGGTGTGAATAGATCAGCTCTGTTACTTAAAGGCAGGTGGGGAAAACAGAAAGATCAGTTGAGCAGCCATTATAAGGGGTCATGCACAAAGGTTGGTTGTTTTGACGATGGTGGTGGCCGTAGAGGAGAGAAGTGGAACTTCGAGATGTATTTAGGAGGTAGAATGAAATGTATTTGGTGGCAGATTGGAAATTCGGGGTGCGGGAGTAATCAATGAGACCAGAATGTGCCACCAAAAATGAAGGATTTTCTAGGTACAAACAATTAAGAAGAAGCCCAGGTAGGAAAGCGCTGTCTTCCCTTTATTTGGTTTAAGCAGGACATAGATTTACAAAGACAAAAGGTATCCTGTCTTGGTGTTCTACCAGAGGGAACATAGGTTCACCACTGAAAACAACTTTAGATTTGGCCTGGTTATGGGAGCAGAGGAATCTACATTAATAAGCTTTACTAACTGGCCTTTATCTGCCATTGATTTGTTGCCATGTTGCCACCAAAGAACTCAAGGTCCTTTCCCTTTTTCTTGTCATTTTTCTCTTAAAACTGTACTGTTTGTTGTTGAAGATGCCATATAAACTAGAATTCAAAGATACTTCTTTGAGAGTTACTCATTCCCAGATTCTCCCTTGTATACATGTTAATGGATTTCTATTTGTTTTTCTCTTATCAAGCTCTCTTATTACAAGAGTTTATTCCAACTAAGAACTTTTAAAAATTCATTTTTTATTTGTTCTAATTAGTTATACATGACAGCAAAATGCATTTTGATTGATACTACACAAATGGAGCACAATTTTTCATTTCTCTGTACACAAAGTAGAGTCACACCATTCATGTCATCATACATGTACTTAGGGTAATGATGTCCATGTCACCCCACCATCTTTCCTACTCCCACAGCTCGTCCCTTTCCCTCCCTCCCTTTCGCCCTATCCAAAGTTAAAAATATGGAACACTTCACGAATTTGCATGTCATCCTAGCGCAGGAGCCATGTTAATATTCTCCGTATTGTTCCAAGCACCCAACTAATAACTTATAATGATTGAACAATTTTTTTCTTCCCCTAAAATCCCTTGTGTGTGGCTTGAATAAGTAGACAGGTAGTGACTTTGTGCCTGGCCCTGTTTGAGGTCCAAGTTGACTTACCAGAGTTCCGGTCACCATCCTCTGCCTTGGGCTGTACAATTGGATGTACTACTTTAAGTTCACCAGCTGGTTTTGATGATGGATTGAAGTGAATTCTAACCATATCCTTCCCGGTGTGTTTGTTGGCTATCCAAATTGTCTTTTTTTTCAATGTTGAATAGAAGATACGGTCAGCAAAAAGAGATATTGCAAACAAATTGTGCCTAAAAAACAACGGGGGGGGGGTTCGGGGGGAGGGGGGGAGGGGTAATCATAAAAAATGGCAGAATAGTGGTTTGGATTATTAAAATTTCATCTCATTTGCATTTTTTGTCAGAATTTTAATCATCTGCAGTTTCTTATTTCTTATTTAGATTTAGAAAAGTATATTGCATTTAAATTTTTTATTTAGTCATCATAATCTGAACTAATAGGAAATAATTTCTTTCTCCAGATCCCTTCTGGATCTGTGATGAAAATGGGGAAGGAAACAAGAACAGGATGCGAGTGGATTTCGGTTTAGTCATCTTTCTGTTCCGCTAATTTCTGCCTCTTTCAATTACTGGAGAGTCTTTCTGGCACCATAGCAAGTCAAATAAAAGATGATGCTTCACAAAATGTATGATATAATAATTCCAAAAAGAGTAACTACGAGCAACATGTGGGAACTTATTATATGCCAGATACTCTGTTATTATTTTTAATCTGTATTTATTTGCTTAATTTCCACAATGTTCCCATATCACAGAAAACTGCAGATAAGAAAAGTTATGTAACTTACCCACCCCAAGTCATTCATCAAATAATTGATAAATCTGTTTCAGACTCCCAAAATTCACGTGCTAAAACTACCACATCTATTTAGCTGACAAAAGATGAATTAATTTTTCACACAAACTTCAGCTAACAATAGTTTTATTTTAAACCATAAGAAAAAACCTACCGTGTTGGAGGTTTGATCAGATGGACAGACCTTCCATCATAATCACAGGAATAAATATGAGAATTGCTTCCTTCTCTATTGTCCTGAATCCAAAAGAGGCGTTTATCGAGCACATCCAGTGACATAGCTGTTATTCTTTCTGGTATCTCTAATAGAGTCTTCACTTTCACCCCACTGAGATCTGCTCTGTGAAGACTGCTGGCCAGTTCTGAAGACCAAAATATAAACCTGGGGGCAAACACATTACATAGACCCATAATTGAATGGAATAGTCACTAAAATGGCAGATTCTTTCAGTGTTTCAGCAGCCCCTCATTCCTGCACAGGACAATTTTGACTATTTTGAATGAAAATTCARTTCAATAAGTACATGTTAACTATTAAGGAAATTATATGTGATTGATTCAAGATAGGAGAGTTATGCTTCTCTAGCAGAAAATCATGGTAGTCAACAGTGTTTATAAAAGGAGCCTGCCAAGTTCAAATGCAGGCAGGCCACTGTCCTATTGAAAATGGTGTTAGTGTACTATAAAAGAGGCCCTTGGTCTCACGAAGGCCCCTTTGACTTCAAGATGTTATGATTCTAGGAATTTTGATTAGATTTGAAATGTATTTCGATGTCTGAAAACAGCAAAATTTACCTTTCTACTGGATCAACTGCTATATTTGCAGGATATTTTAAGGTGCTTAAAAGAACATGGGAATTGTTTCCTTTCAAATCTGTTACTGTAATGATTCCTTCCTGTCGATTTGACCAAATAATTTCTTCATTTATCCAATTTATTGCCATTCCAGAAACATTTTTCTCTATATTGCACACTTTCTGTAAAATCAAATTTCAAAACTGTTATCAATATTTCCCCATTCACAGAAAAATTGATTTTATTGCTATGTATAAAAGTCTACTCTTTTAAGTACCTTTCATTCCCCCAAATTATTTAAATAATAAAATAGTCACATATAAGGTGGCTTTGTTTTGATGTAGCAATATTATCCACCTCCATGTGGATATCTCTAGGCAAAGTATTTATATCATAGCTTTGAAACTGAGAATTATCCTATGCACTATTGAAATTAGCAATCAACCATAATGTAATAATTTCAACTATTTTAACAGTAGGATTTTGATGCAGAGTTTATTCAGTTTTACTTGTTAATGGAATGTTCGGATCCTCACCTACACTTAATTCTAAGCTTTTCAAAACTCTGGCAAGTTTCCGTTGGAGTTTGAGCATTGCACTATGAAAAGGAAGAAGTTCTTGTTAAGGCTTCCATTTTCCTCTGGCCCCTCCTCCTCCATTGGTCCCTTCCTTTTTACAGATCTGGGTGTCTTACACCTTGACCCACTAACAGTACTTGTTCTTATATGCCTTGAGCTGTCCCTGCTCTTTCATGATCGAAACAACCAAACTGAAACCTCTCTTATCTCCTGATTCCAGACTTAGGCAGGTCAACAGCAGGGCAACTGGTATTCTTGGCGCTGGAGGTGCAAGGTGGCTAGAAGTCCTGATTTGTATCATTGCAAGTTCTCATGGTATAATACCCCCCAGTCGCTCAGTTCCAGCTACCTACCACGTGATGTTATTAAATAGAGTTGGGCGGAGGTGGCCTGGCCTTAGAGTCTGGGCTATTTTCCTCTCAAAGCAATCCAACCAACCCATTTTAACTATTACAAATGTATTCATATACTAGGTGTTCCAGATAAGTTGTTTGCATTTTGACAGTTGTCCTTTGTAAACAATGTTTTAACCCCAAAAAGGGACTACAAAGGTGGAATTCTAGGGATCAAGTCAATCCTTTTCTGATGACTTGACATAAACTCACAACTGTTTACGCCTTCTCTTGTTCTGTGACAGAAAGCCCTCCAGATTCTTAGACTCAAGATTTTGAAACTATTCTACCAGATTGGCTGGAGAATAATGAGTAGCCATAATTGTTAAAAGTGTAGATTAGCAAGTATTAGAGATGTGATAAAAACAGATTAATGCCTAATTGAAGCTTTTAGGAATAATTGGAGAGAGAAAGGTTTGGTTAAAAAAGAAAAAGAGAGTACTTTGTACTGGGAATAAATGCTTAAAGTCTTTGTAATCATGTGCCTTTTGCACTCCATCTGCAAAGTATTTCGAGAACTCTCCTCCTGGGACTCATTTACCAGTTTAAAAGAAAGATTAAGGATCTTTTGTATGTACTTCAGGTAAAATACTTTAATCTGTTATCTAATTCAGTTGCTTTTTCCAGAATGCACACAGCTTGAAAATAAAGAAGAAAAAAAATTAGCCTCCTAAATTTCAGGTGAATTTTCCCCTCCGAAATGACAGAGATTTTGTACAGATACAATAGGGTTGATCAACCTCAGCACTATGGACATTTAGGGCTGGATAAGTCTTATTATAGGGACTCTCCTCAGTTCAATAGCATCCCTGGCTTCTGCCCACCAGATGCCAGTATCCCTTCCTCTTTCTCTCTCACCCAGAGTGACATCCCCCAAAATGTTTCCAGACATTGCCAAATATCCCCTGAGAGGCAGAATCCTCCACCCAGCTGAGCACTAGTGAAGTAGAAAATAATCATGCAAATAATCAATTCTAATCATAACTGACCTATAAAGTTAGATATTTCATGTCCTCGCATTCTCCTTAGGGAGCTTCTGTGAGTTTATTCATAATATAGTACCACAGATGCAGATTAAGTGCCTACATTTGACAGACACACATTTGAACCATAATGTACTTTTGTTTATACATGAAGAATTTAGCATATCATATTTGCCTGTATCTCAATCCCTTTGAATAAATAGCATGGGCAATGATACTTTACCTTTTTTGTTGTTGTTGTTCTGGGGATTGAACTCAAGGACATTTAACAACTGAGCCACATCCCTAGCCCTATTTCGTATTTTATTTAGAGACAGGGTCTCATTGAGTTGCTTAGTACCTCCCCGTTGCTGAGGCTGGTTTTGAACTCATGACCCTCCTGTCTCAGCCTACAAGCTGCTGGGATTACAGGCGTGCATCACCACACTTGGTAGTACTTTACCTCTTGTCTTGACCCATTCAGGAAAACTCTTTGCAAAAGTTGTCTTTCTAAATCCACCCAATAGATTCTTTCCTTCTTGTAATGAAAATCCATGATCACCGAAATACCAGCATCTACCACCAGTCGCTCATGGTTTGTGCCTTCTGGGTCAATTCTAAAGATACTGTTTCCATGGGAGAAAATTAAGTAGGGTGCAGGACCTGAGTGGGAAGAAAGAAACCAAACTGTACATTTTCAATGGTATTTAATCTTACCTAGGCAAATTACTTCCCCATGAMAACCAACACAAGCAGAATTATTATTTAATTCCTGATTTTATATTTTAAATAAATAAAAACTATTACATGGAGAATAATGAGTCCCTGTAGATGTTCACAATTAATTTTGTATGTCATCTTCCTTATAAATAAATTATAAAAATGAGCATTGCCAAATTATGAAATATGAACTATTTTAAGAAAAAGGTATTTCTTGTTCTTATTTGTAAAATGCCCTTTTATGTTAAAAAGGGAACCACATACTGTATGTCATGTTGTGGAAAGGATTTATGTGAATGTTGATTTTAATTGTGTCCTTTGGAAGTAAAATTTCAAATATTTTGGAAATAGGCCTCTTTCCTGTGGCCTAATCTGAGAACTTGGAGTCATTAAAAAAAAAAAAAAGAAAAAAAGAAAGAAAGAAAGAAAGAAAGAAAAAGAAAAAAGAAAGTCTTAAATGGGAGCAGGAAAAATTGAAAAGTCATCATTTTTCAAGTTCAGAAATATTTTCACTGATTGGCATTGTCATATAAAATACAGGATGCTCAGTTGAATTATAATTGCTTATATAGGCTGAGGATCCCTAATCTGAAATCTACAATCCAAAATGCTCCAAAATCCAAAACTTTTTAAGTGCCCACATGGTACCAAGTGGACAATTTCATGCCTGACCTCACGTGATGGATAGAGGTCAAAAAGCAGGCACACTAAAAATATTGTATAAAATTATCTTTAGGCTATGTATATGAAGCATATATGAAACATAGAGGAATTTTGTGTTTAGACTTGGAACCCAGCCCAAATATTTCTCATTATGTGTATGAAAATATTCAGTAATCCAAAAAATATGAAATATGAAACACTTCTATGCATTTCAGATAATGGACACTCAACCAGAACATTGTGTGGGACTTGCTCACAATAAAAAATTATTCTCTATTTATCTGAAATTCTAATTTAGCTCAGCATCTTATATTTTTATTTGCTAAATCTGGGTGGTAGACCTCAGATTTCTCGGTTCCTACAGGGTTTTGCTTTGTAACTATCCCCATATCTGGTGTCCTGTTCTGGGTAATGTCCACCTCCCTGCTCTGATTCCCCTGTTCTCAACACCTTCTTGGACACTGGTCCTTGCTTAGAGACTTTGGCACTCATTACTGATTGACTTCAAGTAAAGCTTGTCATTGATGCTCCAAGATTGACTCCAGGGGATGGCTTCAACCCCTGCAGCCAAGCTAGATTCCTTGGTTTCTCCTGACCAAAGGGTATGTGATGATAATTTTATACAATATTTTTAGATACAGTGGAACCACTGAGTGAGTGAGGGGTTGGAGGAGAATAATAACATATTCTTGCTTCCCTGCTGGGCTTTCTCCATTCTCTTTGAATATTAAACCTTAATACCTTAATGAGTCTTTTTTAAAAAGTATTTATTGTTCTAAGGATTAAACAAAATGAGGGAATAACAATTTTTTATACAAGGATCATGTTCTAAAGTCAGAAAGCATTAACTCCACTTTAGAGGATATATCAGAATAGAAATATGAGAAGCAGGGAGAACTGTAAGATCATAAGAATGTGAAACAGGTACCACTGTATGTGTCTAAGAGAATGAGCTTGAATCCCTTTTTCCATTTCTTTTCATCAACACCAACCCCCTCCACAATGGGTCAGGTTCATTGCTACTACAGTTGTGGGAGCACAGAGTTATCTTAGAAAAAATGGAAAGGGTATGTGATGGGGAGCCTGAGGCCTGGCTTCCATTCCTGGCTGACAAGCTTCTCTGAATATCTCAAAGGATCTCCCCTGCCTGTATTATTAGAGAAAAAAATGAGATTATTGATGTGAAAACATTGATTAATCATGGAGGACCACATATGTGTAATCTGCTTTGGTTATTTCCACAGCCAAGGACTCAAGACATAGTTTTGTTCCATTGTATTGATTTGAACCCAGGGACTAGAATGTTAGTATAACTGACTTCCAAGTCAGCAATAAATCCTGAAGAAAAGAAAGACAGTAGGAACAGGCAGTCTGAATACACAGCTACTAAAGTGTGGGCCACAGATGACTTCAGGCTTATAGATCTGTTACCAAGAGTTCTCTTTGATATGTGCATCATGCCTTCTCTGTAAACTGAATTAATGTGTCCAACACATATTATTAATTTTCTAATGCATTGATACATTGGTGAAATTGATAAAACATTGATTTAAAAGTTTTACTACATGGGTAGTTTCCATGAAAAAAGAACTCTGACCATTTTAGTATTCTCTGTCCCAGAACATACTACAATCTTTTGTACATAATAAGTACCCCAAAACCTTTGAATAAAGCCACAAATTAATTAAGAAATGATTGTGTCATGTTTATTTGTCTGAGTTTTTACCAACAGAAACAAAGCCAAAGAGTATGGCAGTCAGATCTATCAAATTCATGAAAGTGGAATCTATCCTGGGGTGGATATTTAGTAACAGAGGCAATAATAACAACAACAAATTTTAACATCATGGTCTCATTTATCCACCATACATCACCATACATCACCAGGCCAGATGTTAAAGTCAAATAAATCAAATAGAAATCTGAATACTTAAATCTGAAGAATCCTTAGATCCATACACAAATCATAGCATTAAGACACAAATCATATCATTAATTCTGTAATTTTTCAAAACTCAAATACAGAATAATTCTAAAAATACTAAATCTAGGGCTGGGGTTGTGGCTCAGTGTAGAACACTCGCCTAGCATGCGTGAGGCAATGGGTTTGATCCCTAGCACCAAATAAAAATAAACAAATAAATAAAGGTATTGTGTCCATCTACAACTTAAAAAATGTTTTTAAAAATACTTAATCTAAGTATGAGTAACCAATGTATTTTATCCTCAAATTTTGCTTATCCAGGGATAAATCAGAGCACCCAAAATTTGGCATCTTGGAACTAGAAGCCTCAAGACATTACCTATTTCAATATTTCCCAAAATTGTTCAAAAAAGTCACACTGTATAAGTATGTGTATGTGAAAGTGTGTGTGTGTGTGTGTAAATGTGTGTGCATGGGTGTGATACAGATTTCTTCCTTTAAGATTCTAATTCTTTCAGCAGAGCTGAGCTTAGGACTAGGAACCTTTCTTGAACAGACTCTGCAGGCAATTCTCATATCTTAGTGAATTTGAAAAACATGAAACTAGTTAAGAGGAGGAAATGTAATGATGCTTCCCAAAGCCCTGCCCCCTAGTGGGTGATGGAGTTAGAACTGAAAACTGGCACTGCCCTTCCAATCTGTCACCCTCCCTCCATCTTTCCCACCTGGGTCCAGGTTGTCCTATGTCAAGACCTCTCACCTTCATTTCACTTGTGCAGCTGATTCTAATTCCACTTCCCTCAAAACACTGTCCAGCTTCCTTCCACTGTCAGCATCCTTTCATGTAAACCAGGGCCTGGGCTGAATATTGTGTGACATGAAATATGATGTAAAATAAAATTAAATACTTTAAGAATTAGGGGCAGTGGAATGTCATTATTGTACAGCCACTGGTAATGCTAAATAAATCAGTGTTTTCTTCAACCCAGTCAAGGACTCTATCAACACCAGTGTGCGGTGCGATATGTGGATTTGAATGTCAGCAGAGTGTGTGTGTTTGAACAGCAAAAGCTTTCCCACGACAAAACCTTCGGAGTTTATTTTGGGTGCAGTTCAGTTAGAAGGAAATGCATGGAAAATCAAACACCATTTCTAAGGAACACAAACCCAAAGACAGCAAACAGGTCACAGCAAATCAATTGGAACCTCTGGCTTCTCAACCTGGGGATTCGTAGGGGATCTTCGTGAATAAGAAATAAAGGAGTCCAGAATGTTTGCAGCATATTGAAGACTTTCCTAAGTGACGACAAAACCTGAGGCCTTCTTGGCACAGAAGGCCAGTAACAAAAATCAGGCTGTGGTTGAAGTGGGCAGGAGAAACAGAATATTTTAGAACAAGAAACTCTCTACCTTCCATGACAGAGGTTGGAGTCTGGGGAACTAGCCCACACAGGTAAGTAAAAAGAGCCTTTGACTGCCTTCTGCTGGCCTTGGGGGCAAAGGCTCATGGGAGCTATGACAGACGCGCATGAACAAGAAATTCAAGTCTTCTCTCAGGTCCCTATCTGCTGCCTGCCCTCACCACCACAAGCTTCTTCCCTGAATCTGGAAATAGACGGAAGGTTCATAGAACAAAGAAAGTGAAAAGGAAACATAGAAATTTCCAGATTCAATGACACCATGAGAGAAGAATGTAGCTTTAAACTGATGGACCTGCTGCAAGAAGGCCTGTCAGCTCCTCCCACAGCTGGCTCCCACCTCCCCATGAAGCCCCTGAGAGCAGCCATTTATCACCACTCCTCAGGGAGCTGACCTGAACGCTATCTTAGGTTTTATGAAGTGCAGAAAGTTTTATTTCACAACAAAAGACCTTTCTTGGACAACCACAACTTTCCTCTCAGTGTATTCATAAATGTCAAAATTCAAGGCAGGTGAGAATGAAGTCAAATGACTCAAAGAACACACCCAGACAGGGTGGCCAGGAAATTTGAATGGAAGGCTAAATTCTATAAAGAACAATGGGGATTGATTTTGATGTTGCTTCCTGAAAAATGTGAATTGAACAGTGGTAGACATGTGTCCTCCAGAGCAAAAAGCAACCCCTGCCCTACTCACAGCTTGATTGTTCCTTCAATCTACAGAGGCATGTACCCAAAATCTCAGCACAGGAATCAAACCTTGCAAGTTCTGCAAAATTGTGTTGTAGGGGACAGACAAGCAGGGCACTGAAGATAGCAGGAAACAGTTTCATTTGGCTGCAGCCAGGTTCAGAGGGTAAGGATTTTGCTGTAGTCAATTAACCCCCTGAACCCCCAGTTCAGGTAGTTTCAGAACTTTATACCCAGTATGTAAGGGA